GGAACAGGGACTCTTGGGTAAAGGCTTAGGTCTGAGGCTCATCTGCTAGTCTCCCCATTTCTATTCTCCCACTGGCAGTAGAAATAGACTTACCTACTTACCTTTCCTCTGCTGGTCTCTTTCCTGCCCACCAGGATTCCTATCTCCTCTGGCCTCCTCTGGAGCCGTACTTAGAGTCTGCCTTCAAACAGCTTTTCTGCCCCTCTTCATATAACAAACATCCATGTTCAGCTTCTCTGGCATTTTCTAGTAGTTTGATAGCTAAATATGATGGTGGGTGTGGGGAGAAGAAATAGAGTAAAAATCCTTCCCATGTTATTCTTCCCAAATTTAGCCCAATGAGCCAAGCACAGCATGGGTGCTACTGGTGGGTCTTTGGGAAAAACAGGCCATGGAGCTGATTCACCTGCATTCAGCGGAGCACCCAGAGGTTGGCCTGGAAGGTTCTGAGTGAAGGGTCTGCGGTACAAGGTAGGGGTGAAGCAGGCAGACAGCTCCAGAGGAGATACAGGGATGGGCAGGTGGTACAGGAGCAGAGGCAAGGCAGTGCATTGGTGTTCCTCTAGCAAAATAGAGACTTCCCTTCCCTTCCCTCCCCTGAAGACATAATTTTAGACAAATGGAAGAAAAGTTGATGACTGGGAACAGGGGTGGGGCAAGAGTGGTGAGATACTGACTACTGTAGGCTCTGACGGAAGAGAGAAAAATCTTATTTTGTTTTTTAATCTCGGAAAGAAAGAGACATTCCCTGTACCCTAAGGCTGGGGTAGAAATAAATGATTGCAAGAACTACTGATATTGAAATGATAAATACTACCACTTTGACCAGAATCAGAACTCTATACTCAAATAAGCAAGGGGCTGGGATGTCCTCAAGCAGTACTGTCCAAGTGGATGCTGTGTGGCACAGGGGAAGGCAGGGGGTGGACGGGTTAAGACACTGATAGTGTCGTCATCCCATGCCTATCACCTCCCAGGAGAGACCATTCCCTTCCTTCTGCTGCCCTTCAGCCTCTGACCTATATGGGAGGTACGGCGATCCACTTAAATAACAGAACTTGAAGAGAACTCTAAGGCTCTTTTCTCAGAGAGATTGAAAAGACACCAAGACAGACCTTGGTTCAAACCCTAACTCCGCTTCTTAATGCCTGAATGACTGTGGGCATGTTATTTAATTTCTCTGACTTTCGTTTTCTTGTCTGCAAAAAAACGAGGGCCAGGAGAAGAGAGAATAATATTAGCCACACATAAGGAATAGTTGTGATTCACTGGCGTAATGTGTGTGTAAAGCATTCAGTACATTGCCTGTTGTTATTATCTATTTTTTACAGAGAGGAAGAGAGAGGGATAGAGAGTTAGAAACATCGATGAGAGAGAAACATCGATCAGCTGCCTCCTGCACACCTCCCACTGGGAATGTGCCCGCAACTAAGGTACATGCCCTTAACTGGAATCGAACCTGGGACCTTTCAGTCCGCAGGCCAACACTCCATCCACTGAACCTAACCGGCTAGGGCTAAGTCTGCATTCTCTACCACGGCAATATGTAGTCAATAAAAAGGCAAGAATTAAAAGTAGCTGAGGGAATGAAGCATAGGATTGGCACAGGTTCAAGTTGAAAAGATTAGAATGAAATCGTGAATTGTGATCTGGGTTCGGCAGGTTCCTTTCACCTGGTGCCCAGAGCGTGCGGAGGGTGTGGGATGGGAAGGGAGGATGGGGCTGGCCCAGCAGCATCAACACCCCCTCATTATGGGCTGTACACTTAAGGAAATAAGTTAGCCTACTATTTTAGGGTGACTGATGTTTCCAAGTTAATTTACAAGCCAATTGGGAAAGTAGCCCACAGATGACTGTGACTAAAATAACTATGTGCATTTTATTTATTTATTTTTTTATGAGAGAGAGAGAGAGAGAGAGAAACATCGATTTGTTGTTCCACTTATATATGGATTCATTGATTGCTTCTTGTATGTGCCGTGACTGGAGATCGAACCCACAACCCTGGCGTATTGGGACGGTGTTCTAAGCAACTGGGCTCTCCGGCCCAGGGCAAGTATGTGCATGTAGACGCATTCCTGGCTTTCTGTCTTTTACCAGGTAAGAGGACATCCTGGGGAGTGAGCCAGTGAGTGCTAGTTCTCCTACTTAAATGAACTTTGTGGCTCTGGGCAAGTCCCTTTGCCTTCCTTGGCCTCTTTAAGACGGAAGCAGGATCTGCCAGTGGTTCTTTGAACCCCAGCATTATCGGGCAGATCTGGCTGCCTAATGATAGTCCGCTTCCACTCCCCCCGTCGCCTGTGTGTCCCCCAGGTGTGGTTATTCCGAGAGGCCGCATCTCCATGGGGGCTGCATTGTTCTGTGGCAAGGCTTATAAAATTACCTCAAATGTCACATCTAGCTCTAACATTCTGAATTATATGAACCATGCATTAAAGTAGTTGGTGCCATTGAAAGAGAAGAGACATGGCAAAATAGGCTTCCTCCAGCAATTCAAAAACCAACTAAAAAATCCAGGGGAAAAAAACAAACAAAACATAGGCGAGGCTTTAAGATAGTTTTGCACTAGGAACATAATGAGTGAATATAATTCTATTATGTATTTTTACTTTACTTTGTGACTTCACTTCTTGCATTTATTTTATATATCAATTTCTGAGTATCAGTTTCCAAAAAAATCATTATCCTATGTATTCTACAGGACACTGGAGCTTTACAACAAATAAATGAACAAAGAGTGGCTACCCTAAGAAGAAATAGCCTCAAGTTATTGGTTGCCCTAAAAACTGGAAAGTCCATGTACTAATAGGGGTCATGACAGCTTGTCAAAGTGAAGAAAAAAACCGCATAATACTCCAGTGATTCTAGACGGAAGTAGCTAATCAATTCAGCCCTGGGTAGTTTCAGAGAAGAAACCAAGAAAAGGAAATCTTGTTCTTCTCCTCAGGGCAGAGATGTTTTGTTTTAATTTTAGCACCTGGTGTTCCCTAGAGAAGTGCTGGCTAAAACAAAAAAACACTTTATTAGAATCCAAGTGTTAGAAATTAATCAAAGGTGGCGGGTGAGTCAGACTCCCTTCTCTTGTAGTCCGCTTCCACTCCCCCCGTCGCCTGTGTGTCCCCCAGGTGTGGTTATTCCGAGAGGCCGAATCTCCATGGGGGCTGCATTGTTCTGTGGCAAGGCTTATAAAATTACCTCAAATGTCACATCTAGCTCTAACATTCTGAATTATATGAACCATGCATTAAAGTAGTTGGTGCCATTGAAAGAGAAGAGACATGGCAAAATAGGCTTCCTCCAGCAATTCAAAAACCAACTAAAAAATCCAGGGGAAAAAAACAAACAAAACATAGGCGAGGCTTTACGATAGTTTTGCACTAGGAACATAATGAGTGAATATAATTCTATTATGTATTTTTACTTTACTTTGTGACTTCACTCCTTGCATTTATTTTATATGTCAATTTCTGAGCATCAGTTTCCAAAAAAGTCATTATCCTATGTATCCAGGACACTGGAGCTTTACAACAAATAAATGAACAAAGAGTGGCTACCCTAAGAAGAAATAGCCTCAAGTTACTGGTTGCCCTAAAAACTGGAAAGTCCATGTACTAATAGGGGTCATGACAGCTTGTCAAAGTGAAGAAAAAAACCGCATAATACTCCAGTGATTCTAGACGGAAGTAGCTAATCAATTCAGCCCTGGGTAGTTTCAGAGAAGAAACCAAGAAAAGGAAATCTTGTTCTTCTCCTCAGGGCAGAGATGTTTTGTTTTAATTTTAGCACCTGGTGTTCCCTAGAGAAGTGTTGGCTAAAACAAAAAAACACTTTATTAGAATCCAAGTGTTAGAAATTAATCAAAGGTGGCGGGTGAGTCAGACTCCCTTCTCTTGTAATAAGTAATCATGATTGTACGCTGGGGTCCTTGTGGGTAAGGCCTCTAATTCTGTCTGACCATTTTATGCAGGAGCAAATAAAGGAATTAAAAAGAAGTTCTTAGGAAAAAAGTTAAGTTAAAGCAAAACAAGCAAGACAAAATGATATATGGGAACCTAAAATTCTAGGCCTTGGCAGTGCACACCCAAGCCCGAGGCTGTGTCAGTCCAGGCAGGTGACCTTAATTACTGTCTCTCCAGTAGGCTGGACTAGGAAAAGGGAAGAAGTGGGGATTTGGGTGAGGAACTACTTTGTACGTAAATATTTATTTTACTGTGAGAGCTCAAGGACATCCTTGGGTCATATTTTAGAGATAGTGCAGAATTCACATGAATGATTCAAATTCCTGAATTGAGAGAAAATAGGCTATAGATGATTTCCTAATTTTTAAATATAGGCAGAAAGTAATATAGGCAGAAGGGAAGAGGCATTGGAAGGTAACATGGATGTGAAATGGGTTTGAATGGCTTCAGGTACTGGGTTATAATCCTCCTAGCACATGGACCACATCTTTTCTGTTTTTTTCTTTAAAAAAAAATATGTTCTTATTGATTTTATAGAGAGAGGAATGAGAGGGAGGGAGGGAGGGAGGGAGAGAGAGAGGGAGAGAGAAAGAAGCATGGATCGGCTAAATGGAACCCTCAATCCTTCAGTGCATGGGACAGTGCTCAACCAAGGGAGCCACTCTGGCCATGGCTTTGTGGGTTTTTATTTTCAAACCTACTCTTCAGTAGTTATTTCAGTAGTTACTATGCATGTAAGATGTGCTTGAGTGAGTCTTTTTTGTTAGAAAAACGAAAAGCAAATTAATACAGTTTCTAGAGCTCTCTTCAGAGATCCGAGCCTCAGTAAGGACAATTCTAAAAAAGATAGAATATTTGAAAATGAGAAGTCTTCTAATGCTGTCTGTTAGTTTAAAATTTAACCCTTCATTCTCCTGGCTACCCTACCCCCACCCTTGATGGCAAGATAATATGTAAATGGCTGCAGGCAAACTGTGAAGTGCGTGGATTAGCATCTAGAGCAGGGATGGTGCTGGCTTCCAGGCAATTTATTTAATCTGTTTAGACGTCAATTTCTGCCTGTGTAAAAAGGGATGATGATAATGAGTGTTTACCAAGTGCAGTGGTTGAAGGATTAATTGTGTCTGACCTAGAGTAAGCCTCAGTTCAAATTAGCTCTTGCCCTTAATCTTTCTACTGAAATCAGAAGTTTCAGGTTGGAAGCCTGATCTTAAATTTAGCGAGATGCTTTCCCTTATGTGGTGTAACAGAAATCAGTACCAGCTGTAGTGCTTAGCTCCCAGGGGAGTGAATATTAGACAGAAACGTTTCTCCATGTACAGTTGTTTTTGTTTTTGGTCCATTTTGCTGATAAATATCCTGTGAAAATTCTGTGCAGCAGGGCAGAGGCTGAGCAGGAGTATAATATTGAAGGGCTGCCCTTGCCGGTTTGGCTCAGTGGATAGAGCATCCGCCTTAGGACTGAAGGGTTCAGGGTTCAATTCCGGTCGAGGGCATGTACCTTGGTTGCAGGCTCCTCCCCGGCCCAGGCACGTGCAGGAAGCAACCAATTGATGTGTTTCTCTCACATCGATGTCTCTCTCTCTGTCTTTCCCTCTCTCTTCCACTCTCCCTAAAAATCAATGGAAAAATATCCTCAGGTAAGGATAAACAACACTATATATATATAAAATATTGAAGGGTTTCTTGGTGTTGACTTTGAATGCCTGTTTGTCACTTTGTAAAGTGGGTTTAGTGTAGTCAGTTTGTATTTTTTTAAATATATTTTTATTGATTTCAGAGAGGAAAGGAGACTGATAGAGACATAGAAACATCCATGACGAGAGAGAATCATGAATAGGCTGCCTCCCACACACCGCCCCCCCTCACCCCCCCACTGGGGATAGAGCCCAAAACCCGGGCATGTGCCCTGACTGTGGTTCATAGGTTGACACCCAACCACTGAGCCACACTGGCCAGGCTCAGCTTGTATTTTTGAATCACATGGCAGCTTTTCAAAAACTCTCTAGATGTGGACACAGAATTTCCATGGCCTCACCCCCATCCAAGTGGCTTGTAACAGAAGGAATCAGAGCAGCTGGGAGGGGCAATATGGCATAGGCCTGAAGCAGGACGCTACATCTTCGAGTAATCCAAGACTGCCAATAAAGTTTCCTGTCACAGCACAAGTGAAGCCAGAAAATTTTGAATTATAGCCTATTGAGCTGTAGGGGCTCATCTCATCCAATCCCTTCAATTTCCAGTTGAGGAATCAAATCCAGAGAGGTCTAAGGACCTGCTTAAGATAATGCAACTAATTAGTCTCAGAGTTAAGACTCAAGACAGAATAGGGAAAAAAAAATTATATTTAAACTTTACATCATTTCTACCCTTTGTCTCATTAACTTTGATCTCTCTGCAAAATAGGTAACACAGCAATTAGCTGGAATAAGAGAAATTTGTGAATGAAATTGTGCTGACATGTTTGGGTTTGTATTAATATTCCCAGTAATCACAAAGAGCACTTATTAAAGAGCTTGCAGCCAATTTTAGAATTTATGTTTAATTTCAAAGGGTGCTTTCATTTTCAGAAGTTAGAGCAATCTTTGTTCCATGTTCAGGCTTTAAAGGCTGGGCTCTCAAAACCCGTGGCGATGGCTCATTGTTGCCGGTGCCACCGTTAGATCAAGTACTGCTTGGGAAGCAATTGGAGGCGATTGTAGAGGAGCTCAGTGGCACGTCTGTGATTACAGTACGTGCAGTTGTCAAGTGAGAGAAACCAGTATCCCTTGGTGACTCCCACCCTCAGTGGGCTGTGAGCAGTCGTCAGATGCGCAGAGAACAGCCCTCCACTGTATTTAAGACACAGGACTTACACCCAGATCAAGCTGCTCAAAATTGCCTTTTTTGCTCAAGATCAAGCATCTTCAGAAAGTCATATTGTAAGCACTAGGGGGACCATTAAGTTGTACTGAAATAGAACAGCTAGGAAGAAGAAAACAAATGTGTACTTGAAAGATACAAGGAGGCTTATACTGGGTATAGTCATAGGACCCCTGTTCAGATGTATCTTTTCGGCCATGGAGATTCTTCTCATTTGCATCTTGGTATGTTTTCCCTTCTTCATTTTAAACCATGAACTTTCCTTGTGCCAATTAAAAAAATTTAAAAAGCCAGTCACTCCCTAAATTCCTCTGAGCTTGTGAACATTCTTTCTCTCCACGTGGTTACTTGCTGCCTCTCCTAATCCGAGACCCTCACTGCAGGCTGTAATCAAATTCCTGGAGGTGGGACCAGGGAAGAAAACTCAATCCCACACTGTTCTCATCCTTTCCCATAAGAGATCCCGCACATCTTGCTTTCTTTCCCCCTGCTTATCTCTTTCTTTACAAATACTGGTAGACATGAGCACATGAGACTTCTACTCCCTTCCCCTTCTGTTTCCTGTGGATGAAAAAAGGGGGTTCTATGGAAAGGAACCTCACAGAGTACTCTGATCATAAATTCCTAAGTGGGCCGGTCTTGGTGGGTAGTCAGTCACACCCCAGGCATATACCTCTTTACTACCAGGCTTATCTGTGCCTTGATTGCACTGCCCATTGTTTCTGTGCACCAGGTTGGTAGCCCTTTGAAATGTCCCCTTTCAGAACCCTCCTTGTAATACCTGACCACCCTTTCGGACCCCTCCTTCAAAGGTGTGCAAGGTAGCACATAATCTCAGCTCTCCTGTCATCATCTTGCTTTCTCCCACCTCCCTGTCATCTTCCTTACGTCCCCTCCTTAATCTCAAATGCATAAAAGAAGAATTTATCTCAGTCCATTGAGATCTGGCTTGCAGGTATAGATCTTGCTTCCAGGTATATCCTCTGTTTGGCTCAAATACATTTTTATTAAAAAATTCTCTACAGCCCTGGTCCTGTAGCTCAGGTGGTTAGAGCATCATCCCAATACTCCAGGGTTGTGGATTTAATCCTTGGTCAGGGCACATATAAGAATCAACCAATGAATGCAGGAATAAGTGGAACAACAAATCAATGTCTGTCTCTCTGTCTCTCTCTCTGTGTCTCTCTCTGTCTCTCTCTCTCAAATCAATAAGTAAATATTTTTAAAAATTCTCAACAAGTTTGAATGTTCTTACATTGACATTCCCAACTCTTTCCTGTTTGCTTTGTAGAATCCTCTCCTCCTGCACCTCTGTTCATTATTTTATCACTCCCATTCTTTTTCCAAAAATCTACAGGTACCTAGGGCTGGCTCCAGCCTCCCCCACCTAGGGTCTCTTGTGTCCTTCACAGCAGTTACTGGGGTGGTTTAAGGAGCTGGTGTTTGAGGACTTAATAAACCCTCACTGACTTTTAACAATAAAGCCTCTCATCAGGGTTGCAAAAAAAAAAAAAAAGCATTTTCATTTTGCTTGTGATAAACCTTGAAGGAGGAAAAAGCACCATCCATGCATTTTGGTGTGTGTCAAAGTGAAGAACCTCGGCCAGGACGCTTCTGAAAGTCCACTTTGACTTCCCATTAAAGTGTGCATTCCCTTCCCCACCATATCCTCCTCCAATTAAACGTAATTCCCTTATTAAAACTTTTATTTTCTAGCCAACAGTTTCATTTTGAGTGCTACAATACAGTATTGTCTTCCACTATTTTTCATTGCAGATGCACCACAGGAGGTAAATGAGCCCCTTTGAAATCATTTTGGAACCTGGCCATGTTTAGAACATTGTTTCTATGAGAAAATGAATTCCCAACTTTTAGAACATAATTTATTTTAAGTTGGGTATTTCCTCTGTGTATTTGGTAACAAAAATCTTTTTGATGTGGTGACATAAAATCAGAGACCTGCCTTGGTTTTTACCTTGTTGAATATTTCCACAATAGAAAAAATTAACCCATTTATTTCTTATATTTTGTGTGTGTGTTTGTATAACATGCTATAGATCTTGCAATGCATATTGTTGGTTGTGTATAATTTTCCACAATCAGAGAGTACATGGGGATTGTAGTTGTCCACTGTTTCTGGTTTTCCCCTCTTCCTGGGCACAGGGAGAGACTGTGCTCTCCAGCCTCTCCTGTAGCTAGGTGTGGCTGAGTACAAGTGATTTGAGGAACTTCTGCCTTATCTGCTTATCCCTGGCCTGAGGCTCCCTCTCTTCCCTCTGTTTAGCCAGCTGGAATGGTGAGGACCAGAGCAACCCTGCAAGCCAACTGTTGATGGCAGAGCTGCTGCCAGCCTGGGTCTCCAATGACTGACCGGAGCAGAGCTGCCCACCCAGCTGGAATGCTTGTCTTGAACTATTACCTGGGAGACAAATAACCTCATTGTTCTTCAAGCCACTGAATTCGGAGCCTTTCTTTCTTACAGCAGCTTAGCCTATTTGCTGGGGCAAGCAAGCCTCCCTGTTCTCTTCAGTGCATGGCTGCCGGCGGCCATCTTGGCTGGCAGTTAATTTGCACATCTCCCTGATTAGCCAATGGGAAGGGTAGCGGATGTACAGCTAATTACCATGTTTCTCTTTTATTAGAGAGGATTCTCTACAGCCTTGGTCTTGTAGCTCAGGTGGTTAGAGCATCTCCAGGGTTGTGGATTTGATCCTTGGTCAGGGCACACATAAGAATCAACCAATGAATGCAGGAAAAGTGGAAATCTTGCTTCCAGGTATATCCTCTGTTTGGCTCAAATACATTTTTATTAAAAAATTCTCTACAGCCCTGGTCCTGTAGCTCAGGTGGTTAGAGCATCATCCCAATACTCCAGGGTTGTGGATTTAATCCTTGGTCAGGGCACATATAAGAATCAACCAATGAATGCAGGAATAAGTGGAACAACAAATCAATGTCTGTCTCTCTGTCTCTCTCTCTGTGTCTCTCTCTGTCTCTCTCTCTCAAATCAATAAGTAAATATTTTTAAAAATTCTCAACAAGTTTGAATGTTCTTACATTGACATTCCCAACTCTTTCCTGTTTGCTTTGTAGAATCCTCTCCTCCTGCACCTCTGTTCATTATTTTATCACTCCCATTCTTTTTCCAAAAATCTACAGGTACCTAGGGCTGGCTCCAGCCTCCCCCACCTAGGGTCTCTTGTGTCCTTCACAGCAGTTACTGGGGTGGTTTAAGGAGCTGGTGTTTGAGGACTTAATAAACCCTCACTGACTTTTAACAATAAAGCCTCTCATCAGGGTTGCAAAAAAAAAAAAAAAAGCATTTCATTTTGCTTGTGATAAACCTTGAAGGAGGAAAAAGCACCATCCATGCATTTTGGTGTGTGTCAAAGTGAAGAACCTCGGCCAGGACGCTTCTGAAAGTCCACTTTGACTTCCCATTAAAGTGTGCATTCCCTTCCCCACCATATCCTCCTCCAATTAAACGTAATTCCCTTATTAAAACTTTTATTTTCTAGCCAACAGTTTCATTTTGAGTGCTACAATACAGTATTGTCTTTCACTATTTTTCATTGCAGATGCACCACAGGAGGTAAATGAGCCCCTTTGAAATCATTTTGGAACCTGGCCATGTTTAGAACATTGTTTCTATGAGAAAATGAATTCCCAACTTTTAGAACATAATTTATTTTAAGTTGGGTATTTCCTCTGTGTATTTGGTAACAAAAATCTTTTTGATGTGGTGACATAAAATCAGAGACCTGCCTTGGTTTTTACCTTGTTGAATATTTCCACAATAGAAAAAATTAACCCATTTATTTCTTATATTTTGTGTGTGTGTTTGTATAACATGCTATAGATCTTGCAATGCATATTGTTGGTTGTGTATAATTTTCCACAATCAGAGAGTACATGGGGATTGTAGTTGTCCACTGTTTCTGGTTTTCCCCTCTTCCTGGGCACAGGGAGAGACTGTGCTCTCCAGCCTCTCCTGTAGCTAGGTGTGGCTGAGTACAAGTGATTTGAGGAACTTCTGCCTTATCTGCTTATCCCTGGCCTGAGGCTCCCTCTCTTCCCTCTGTTTAGCCAGCTGGAATGGTGAGGACCAGAACAACCCTGCAAGCCAACTGTTGATGGCAGAGCTGCTGCCAGCCTGGGTCTCCAATGACTGACCGGAGCAGAGCTGCCCACCCAGCTGGAATGCTTGTCTTGAACTATTACCTGGGAGACAAATAACCTCATTGTTCTTCAAGCCACTGAATTCGGAGCCTTTCTTTCTTACAGCAGCTTAGCCTATTTGCTGGGGTCCAGCCCCAGCAGGTCCAGGGGTTCCCAAAGGTGTGGAGGAGTCGGCGAAGAAGGAATGACACGGAGGCAGCGTTCAGTTGGTCAGCATGGTCAGGTTCTCTTTTTTATTGTCCTGTTACATCTATATTTATACTATTTGATCCCATAAGCATGCCTCTATAATTACATCGTGGTATGTTTTGGGTAACGTTCTATAGTTTCTTGTTTCATAGTTTCCTATCTGACCTTTACCAGAAATCCTGTCTCTATCTAGTTCTGTTGAGTTTAATCTTGTCTAGGTTAATCTCTGTGTTCCATTACAAGGGCTATTCCAAGGTCGCTGCTGTACTGATAGGC